GGCAGTGCCAGGCTCTGGAGGCAACGCTGCCCGCGGCTCCTCGTGCTTCACCCCCCTGGCTCGGGGGCCGCTGACCCCAAAAGGGCTCAGAAGAAGTGACCCAGCCACTGCCATTGCCGGAGGGGGCTGCGAGGGGAGCTGCCGGCTGTGGAGCAAGAGGTGTGTGTGTGGGGTGACAGGTTTGGGCTGCTGTGGGGACAGTGACCTCTGGCACCACAGGGGAGTGAAGAGAGCAGCAGCAGGCAGCCAGGATGGATTAAACCCATTGTAGCAGGGCTGTGCGTCCCACAGAGCCTGCAGTAAGGTTTCTTTTCCCTTTTCCACACCCGCCTCTTCTGCTTGCTCCTGCCTAAGAAGCAAACCACTACTACAATATCTGCAGCTTGCCGAATAAACGTTGCTCTTCGAGTTGTTGATTACAGTTAATTAGCATTAATTTTTTTCCTTAAATGGCTGCTAGTTGTGCTCATTTTCTCCGGGGTCATGGCTGTGGTGCTGCTGAGCAAAGGAGACGCTGAGTGGTACCGGGTGACCCGGGCCCGTGGCGGTGGGTGGGTGCGGGAAGGAGAGGGAGGCCGTCCCCACCGCAACAGGGGCTTTTCACACGCTTCATTTTCTGAGCGACCCGTACGGGCCCGGCTGCCGTATCTCCATTTTGCGTGGGCCGAAGCGCAGGTGGCACAGCTGCCCCGGCGGAGCCCCCTGCTGCCGCGCGATCGGTATTCACCTGGCCCGAAAGGAAGACACGCCGCCATCGCTGCTTATCGCAACGCGGGTCGCGGGGCTCGGCCGGGACCGGGGGGCTCGGCCGGGGCCGGGGGCGGCGGCGCGCGGCGACGGCGCCATCTTGTGGGCGAGGGCGCGGGTTGGCGGGCAACGGCCGCCGCCCCTCAGCCCCGGCCCCGCGCCCCAGCCGGGCCGGGGCTCTCTGGAAGCGCGGCGGGTGTCTCTCCGCCTTAGCTGAGGCGGCTCCCTTGTCCCCTCCCGGTGCGGGGAAGCTGCCAGGGGGAAGCTTTACCCCTCCTCCAACGGGTGGACCGAAACGTGGCCCGCTCCGCTGGTCATCCTTCAGCCCCAGGCCTGGCCAGGTGGGTGTTCTGGAAGGTGTCAGCCTGAGAAGGCAAAAAAGGCCTTCCAGGAAAAATCCCGCCCGCCCCGGGCTCGACACACAGTCTGTAAGAGGGAGCCCTGTGAAGGGGAGCTGTAGGGAACACGGTGAGGTTGAAGCACAGCCACGCAGCGTCAGCCCCCTAGAGTGCATCAGGCGTGTGATGATAATTTAGTCCCTGGGAATCTTTCCAGCAGATGAACAGAAAAAGAGCAGAAGCAGGGTAATTTCTGAGGCAGACTCACTTGGCTGGTGAAAGGGGATTATAGAAGTGCCCCCCCCCTTCCCCACAGTAGTGTCAACACCTTTCTTTTTCTGGTTTCCCCTCAAGTCACTGATTTTTCTCTTCCCTAGAGCGGTTCAACGGGTAGAAATGTAGCGAGGGCATTGGCAGCTTTTACTTCAGCATCATCCAGCCCTGCTGAGAGACAGACACTCGACATGCAACAGTGGTAAAAATGCTGGCAGAGGTACGGCCCTGCTCGTGCTGGCTCTCCTACCGCTCCTGCCGCCAGACAGAGGGAAACTGTATGCCTCAGAGTCTGGGGTTATAGGAGTCAAAGAGATTGTGAATCCTCAGAGGTGTGTGTGTGTTGCTGCTGGCTGGCTTTCCCGCCATGGGGGATTGAGCTGGTCTCTGACAAGACAGCAAATCCAGAGCTGCCGTGCTGGGGAATGCTCTGAAGCGCTCTCTGCAATCAGGCTCGTTGAGTTGCTGCAGCTCTTCTCTGCGCCAAGTGGTGTTTCTCTTTTGGATGGTTGTGGTGTTAAACGCTTCAGCAATAAAGAGGCTTTGTTGTGGTCTCTGCAGCATTGCTTTTGCCTTGGCTAGCAGCAGCCTTTTTGTTTGAATAAATGCTTTCCCTGGAGTTGGCTGTGGGGGCATGTGTGGGCACGTGTGTGTGGGTGTACATTGGACACAGCTGTGAGCAGGCAATGCTGTTAGGTTCAGCACTTGCCCAAACTTGTTGTTCATGTGCTCCAGAACAATGTGCTTTTCCTCATGGTTGGAAATACTGGCCACTGTCACAGGCTTTTAACAGCACTTGAGTGAAATTAATGGCCACTTTCCAGCTACAGGCAGAAACTGTTGCTAGCACCTAGCCCATCTTGTATTTAGTCTCAGGAAGCAATCAGCATTTGCTGCATCAAAGGAAGGACCAAGCCGTACCGATCCTGGCCAGCCTGTGCTGTGGCAAGGCTAGAGCTGGACAATCAGTTCCCCCCTTGTCATGCTGCAGGGACCCGCTCACATGCAGCGGTGTACTGTATAATGCATGAGTGAAGGTCATACAGTGACCTATTAGTTTGGAGCTTTGTAATTTATTTCCTTTGGCACAGGTATCCTGGTTAGTTCCACCTACGTTTCAGGGGGATCAGTTCAGCTCCGCTACAGGCTGGTGACAGAAACACACAACTCCACAGCTTTTCCTCATCTTCCTCCCACTTATGTCTCCAGAGTTAAAACCCAGTCCAGAATCCCCAGACCAAATTGAATTAGAATTTAACATTCAAAGATTCAGGCTCCCTTTAGGCTCTAAGGAACAGAATGTCATCCTGTCTCGCAGTTAATAGCTGCTGGGTAGTCGTTTCAAAGCCATTTCTTTTCAGCGAGCTCTACCATAGCAAATCCCAGCAGTGAATGTATTTCTGGCCTGGCCGTGCTTCTAATCCCACAGCTGAGTCTTATGTGTGATCTCTTTTGAAATGGTAGATCTATATATATATTTAAAAAAAAAAAAAAAAAAAAAAATTCCAGACAGTGATATTTCTAGGACTTGGCATTTAGAGTGGCAACAGGGTTGTTTATAGGAAGAGAAGGGAAAGGATGGAAGGATGATGTTGACCTAGCAGCCCTACAAACCTACCACACTTAATCCACTTATCGCTCTGAATTCCTGAAGCAGATAAATGCTGATAACAGTTAAAACACATCACTGACAGGAGCAGCATGTTCTGTCCTCTAGAAATACATCAATGCTGGAAATTGCAAAGCTGTGTGCTACCATGGGGATGAGTGTGATATAAGAGCTGAGGAAGCCCTCGCTGTTCAGCAGAGTTCTTCCACAGGAGGGTAGTAAGCCCCTGCCCCTTTCTCCCTCCCTGCCCCAACTACCTGGAGATGCCCATTCAGGGCTGAGAAATGCTGCCAAGCGTGGTTGTGACCCCACAGCTCCCCAGAGCCACAGCTGCCTGATCTGTGCCTACATATCTGAAATACCAAGTGGGCCCCAAGTGTCTTGTTACCGCTCTTGATTGTCCTTGCTGCTCAGCGTTAAGACCTGCGAGGAGCGATTTCCAGCTGAGACCAGCCCCGTGCAGCTCACATCAGCATGTCTTGGGGAGTGGAGTTGGTTTTGGCTAATCTGAGCTAAACCTTCCCTGGAGGAGTGCAGCTGCTGCACCAGCCTCACAGAGCCACACAAAGCCACTTGCTTCTCTCCCCATCTGTCAGGGATCTCAGCAAGGTACCGGAGCCGTCCCTGGGCTCAGGGGGCTACAGTGGCTGAAGCTGCACACCACCCCCTCTATCAAGACCCCTTCCTCCTGAGGACCTGTCCCAGGCTGAATAGGAGGAAAAATGCTGTAAACCAGAGGTTGCTTTGGAGCAAGCATCACTTCTACAAATGCTGGAGGGATAAAAAAACGACAGTGATTTTGTCAATGCGCAGTTTACAGGCTCATCTACCTTCTTAGGTCTTTCCCCCACACAGTCATCCCCCACCAGTCTCTACAGCGCAGCACCCTGTGTGAGCAGGCACCCTTGAAATTGCAGCAAAGTGCTTTCTTGTGAAGAGTGAGTGCAAATATCTCACAAGAAGTGTGAAAGGAGGAAGCTGCTTAGGGACAAGTGAAGACCTCTCAGACAGGGTTTTTCTGAGTTAGGCGCTGCTTAGCTGTTGCATTGTAGACGTCTTAGCTAAAAACAAGCTTTCATCAGAATCAAAGACTGTTTGTGAGTATATGTGGCAGGATCCTCCCACAATAAGAGGGTTTTCTTCTTCGAAGGGGTCTTTTTAGATTTCCCTACGATAGATTTCTTAAGGCCTCCCTGTATTGCGAAGCTGATTCAGAGCCAGCATCATGTGAATCTGAAACATCCCAACTGTTAGGGATGAATTTGCTGCCTGGTTGTTCTCACTCCTGGAATACGAGTGCCTTCCTCCAAAGTGACCTAGTGGAGGAGTTGGCTGTGGAGGGAAGTTTTGTGCAGTCAGGAGTACAGTGGAAACGTTCCTCTGTACTGACTGCTGATGTGACTACTTGTTTTCTGTGTTGAAGGAAAAACAGGTGATCCCACACTTGAGTGTTCACATAAAGAAGAACTTTGATGGTGCTACTCTGCCCTGAACCCACACCCTGTGGCATGGCTCAGTAGCTTCCCCATGTGAACAAAGGACCTGATTAAGATAATTTGAAGTCAGGTGCCCTTATTCTAAAACCTGGATGGTCCATTCGTGAGATAATCAGGAATAGCTGTTCCAAAACAAATCCTTGGTAAAAATCCCACTGTGCCACTTTTAAACTTCTCCATTGCTCCAGTCAGTTGAATCCTTTCCTGAACTTGACTACATTCACCTCAAAAGGCCTTGATCTGCATCAGTCAAAGTGCATATTTTTCCATATTTCAGCATGGGTCTTCGGTCACTGTGGAAGGGGACAAAGTTTGCTTTAAATGCATGCGATATTTTACAGTCATTGGGAGACAAAGCTCTATGTGTGAAAGAGTTTATGGTCCAGTCTTTGGACACGCACTGGTAGGTGTAACCCCATTGTAACAGTACAGAGAAATGAACCCCAGTGTGGGGAGGAGTCTGACCAAAAAGCAGAAGAGCCTGCATCTGCCAGGATCAGCTTGCCAAAAGTAGCGTGTGTCCATCCTGCCTGTCTGTCCCTTTGCAAACGGGAGGGCATCAACCAGCTGCCCAGGCGTGGAAATACCTGACAAACCCTCATCTCTTTTGCCTTTGGATCTTCATATCTGGTTGCTTTCTTACAGCCTTTGACCCCCCATCATGGCCTCTAATCTAAAAGTCATCTTCCTGTTTCTTTGGTTGCTTCAGTGTGGAGGTAAAGAAACGTTTTTTAATTCCTTTTGTTACTCTCACATTTGTTCATATTAGAGCATTTCCAGCTGCTATCTTTTGCTAATTTCCAGAGATCCCCTCTAGGAATTTGCACGCTGCTGCTATTTCTGTCTTTTAAGCATTTCAAAGCTGAGAGAGAATCCTCAAGAAAGGAGGAACATGGGAGAAGGGTTAGATAACCTAAATAAAATCATTTGGCTTTTTCTCTGGCATGTTCTTCTCAAGCTAATGGCTCCTGGGACACTGTAAGAAGATGGATCTCTCCTCTGTTTCGTTACAGCAGTGCTTAGCCATGTCTTGTATAGAAGCTGTATTCATGTGTGTTCCGCTGGTTAGAGATGAGGAGAAGGATGATGAATGATGAATGATTTTAGAAAATAAGGCCCATAAGAGACCGCTTGGGTTATCACTCCCACAGCGTCTGCAGGATTTTCAGTTACCATCTTTCCATAATACTGTATCTAGTATACACAGGACTGTGCACTCACAACGAATGAGCGTGTCCCTTAGGACTGTACTGTATCCCGGTTGCTTTTACAGCTAAGAACCTTTTCCTAGTGATGTAACCTAAGCTCTTCCTTACTCTCAGGCTATTGTCCCTAGCTATATCATCTGCAGAGGATTTTACTTAACGGGCGTTATCCTTTCTGGACAGTGGCCATGCCCTCTCTCCATTATTGCCCCCCACAACGCTTCCTCAATGCTCAGCATTCAGCAGTGCTAAGTCTGAGTTGCCTTTTCCGATGCCAAGTCCCACTGTGCAGAGGTGATGCTGCGGTTGCGATGCAGTGTTAGTGCATGATGACAGGCAAGCAAGCCCGGCTGTGCTCTGGGACAGCTTTAATGCCTTGTTATGAGCCTGTTCATAGATGCAGAACCCCAGGGAATCCCATCAAAAGCATGAATGGAAAAGCCTGCCCATCCTCTACTTTCTCTCTCTACTTTTTTTTCCCTCTTCTATTTTCATGTCTCTGAAAGAATCCTTCATTTTGTAAGAAGACTTGTGTGTAAATTTCCAGTTCCCTTTTTTAAAGACAACAGTGGTTTCCACAGGTTTCCTCTTAAGTTGCTTTATATGTGGCGTTATGTCAGCTGCCAAACAAACAGATCCAGAGACTGCCTGATATTAAACCCAGATTTGGCTGGAAAGCTAAAGAGGTCCTGTACCCCAGGCTCCTTACTAGCTCACTCTTAGCATTTTTTATGTTTTATTAAACAAAACAGGGAGTGAACTATGGTGTGTTCCCTATCTGTGCTCACTCATCCTCTCTTGTAACTCCCAACATCATTGTCTACTGAATTGCAGTGATAGATCACTTTCAACAGCCCCGTCTGTGTAAGGAGGAAGCACATGAAGGGCATGATCTCCCATCTTTCTGCCTAAGATACTGTCACATATAGATACTTAAGATCCACAGTCATCTGCAGATAGTTTCTATATCTAGTATTGAGTCTTGTGCTTTGCTGCCCATTTACAGCAGCAAAAGTTTGGAGCGATTAAACTGTGTCTTACTTTTCATGGCCCTGATGCTGGCCCCTGTACAGAATATGCAGTTTCCTTCCTCACTCATGCTTTAGAAATACACAGTCCCACTGATAACACCTGCTTGCATACAGCACCTCCACTGGCACAGAGTCATGGCATGGCCACACGAAGGTGCCCAAGCAGAGGTTTGCTAGGAGTCTCAGGAGATGTCCAGTAGCGTTTGTCTTGGGAAATTGCTTTCTATTTACCCGCTGTAAATACAGTCTCACACCACTGCCAAATCAGTTCACTTCCTGCTTCATTTCCTGTGTTTTTGTGTGCTGGTGTTGTGTAGAGGGCTCACAAGGAAAAAGGGGAAGCTGGTGAATGCAACAGGCTATCGCAAATCACACAGCAATTACCTAAGAGATGTGGCAGATCACACAGGGCACATGCTCTGAATCATTCTATTTCTGGCAAGGGCCAACACTGTGTGCTACAGGCGCACTTCCTGACATACGGTTATTTTCACCGTGTGATTCTGTCTCTGGGGCAGCAGTCCTCTCCTGACTTAAAGCGATGTTAGGTGACTGCTAACAATTATTACCCTTACAGGGGGAAGTGTCGAAGTACAGCAGAAACCTCCAATCCAGGTTGCACTGCTCAAGGAAGGAATATCCATCCCCTGTCAAGTCATCTTCCCTTACATGCCAGAATACACCAATTTTTCAATCTTCTATTACTGGATTAATTCACTGGGCAAGAAAACATCCATCTATAATAGGTCAGAAAACATAGTCATCCCTTCTGGAAAAGAGAATAAGACTGCTACCATATCTTACAACCACAGAATCATGCCACTTGAAAACACCTCTTATACTGGCACGTACTACTGCGAGGTCAAATGGAATAACGTCCAGAAAACGGGAAAGGGAGTGTTTGTCCTTGTTAGAGGTAAGTGAACAACCAGAAAGGAAGGATAGGTGGTTAAAAATCAGTCGGATCTGGCTGTGAAAAGATGATCTTTGCTCTTCTTCTACCCAAACATGCTATGAAGTCAGGTGGGAATAATGCTTTATGCCCAATACTTAATGCCATCAGAGTTGAATGCACTTTACACAGGTGACCTGTGCTACTTTCCCATTGCACAGATGGGGACATGAAGATGCAGTAGCTTTTGTCTGCCCTGCCACAGCCTCCTGGGAACGGCAGGCCTAAAGTCAGGGTGTAATCTGGGCACTGGGTCAGAGGGTGCTTTTAGGTGTCAGTGTTCAGGAGACAGTGCAGTTTGGCTTTTAGCAGTGTGAGAGAAACGGATCAACACAAGGTCAGTGGTTAGGGTGCTCGCTGTAATCAGCTGTACAGGTTAGGCAATCACCATTAGGGGCTCCTGAACAGGTTAGAGGCTCACCATAATCCCTCCCCCTCTTCCATGTGGTACAAGAGGTCGGTTGTTCCATTAATGCGCAGACTGGGAAGCAAGGGAGAGCTTCATACCAAGATAAGAGGAATGTTATAGAAAAATGATAAGGACATGCATGCTGCTTACTGGCTGGATTTGCATTACTGAACGGTGGATATGAAAAACTTCTTAGAAAGTGTAAATGCAAAGAGCTGTGACAAAATAGCTTTGCTACACTGGTCAGAGGATGCCCTACAGTACTCACCCTGCTAGTTTGTGTGGCCTGTGTACTTTCTACCATCTGTCTTTCCGCCCCTATCACTAAAGACCTTTGCCAGCCTCTACCTACCACCTTTCTTGGCTCTCATAGTCACATCACCTCCCTCTAATCTACATGAAGTGCAGCTGCTTATATCCTGTCTCTTTTGAGAGATTCTTCAGCTGCACCCTGCTCTCTGTTAAGTCAGACTGAGTTTTGAAGAGGGGTGCATCTGTGTCACTGTATTCTGCACTGCTTGTGCATTTCAGTTCTCTCGAGGCTCTTTCCAGGGTTTAAAATGCAGCAGGATTGTAACTTCCACTTACACTGTGAGTGTTTTGTCTTCTTTCTTACAGGTACAGGGTACATAGATACCTCTTATGGTTGGGAAATACTTGTTACTTTTACCACTCTTCTTGCTGCATTGAGCATCACCGCAACAGCTCTGCTTCTGTGGAAAAGAAAGGCAAGTTATCACCAAATAAAAAGCAATACCTGACATGACCCATTCTAGGAATTTATTTCATTTGTTTCTAACTTGGCTGGATTGGAAGTCCCCATGCTGAAATTTTCCATGCTGGGTGTCTGCCTCAGGTTTATTTGCTTTTTCAAAGTTCAGTCTTTCTGAGAAAAAAAGATTACAAGAAAGACAAAACAAGTCATTTATTTGTCCATTAAAGAAATTCTGGTAATTATTTTGACTCTGGCATGCTCTGATCTGACACAGGGCAAGAAGTCACACTAGCAGTGCGCTGGCCCTGAGAATATTCAAGGCGATGTAGCCTTGTGATGGGTTTTTGGAAAATTGCCGTTTGTGCATGCTCAGTCATGGCTCTTGTCAATTTAGCAGCTCAGTTATCTAAAGGACCCTGACGAGGCTGCCTTTCCACACAGTGCCAGTCAGACAGGTAATGTCCTGTGCACCCATGCATGTCTGTTGCAGCCCTGGTGACAGGAGGAGGGCAGGGCTTTCCCTGTTTCTAATCTTCTTTCAAGATGGGGCTACTCTGGTTCAAGGGCACAACCGGATTGCAATGAGACTGTGCAACTGTGTTCCTGGGCCATGGTTTGTGCACCACAGAAGAAAACAATCTGCAGTGTGGAGGGGATGGGGACCAGAGCCTTGGGCATGTGTTTGGCAGAGAAAATGTTAAGAGCCAGAGTGAGGGGAAGGTCAGAACAAGGATCCCAAGGAAGCCTGTGTGGAAGTCCCAGCTAACTGGGAAAAAAGAAAGAGACAAAGACCTGAGGAGCAACCTGCTTTAGTTGGCTCTGCTTTGAATGGAGGGGAATTGAACTAGAAAATCTTCAGAGGCACCTTCCAACAGCAGTGATTCTGTAAGGCTGGTAGAAGGAGCCTTGGGAGGAAAACTGGAAATAGAATATGGAACAAGGAAACACTGGAGCTTGGAGGAGTGTGGTAAGACTGGACTGGCAGGGCCCCCTGGGTGAGCAGACTGGTGGCACAGGTTGGGACCAGCTGGGTAAGGAAGTGGAAGCTGGGATGAGTATCTGTGGGCAAATGGGAAACTGGGAGTGAGGAAGAAAGGATGTAGAGAGAAGGAGAAGAAAATCCAAAGTTACGTCTGGAAGATCAGGATGAGACAAGAGACCTGTGGAAAAAACTCTGCAGTCATGATACTGAGATCCCTGATTTTTGGGTAAAATCTACTGCTCCTAGTACTGCCACCCTCAGGTGTTCAAATAGCATCCTCTGCATTCTCCTAGAGATCTCAAGGCTGGCTTAAAAAAAAAAAAAAGATGTCTTTAGAACATAATTCAGGGATTGTTGTTTTCTAGGTAAAGTATGCCTCATATTTACTCTTTCAAGCTGCTTTCTACCACCATGACAGCAGACTCTCTGCATGCATTTTTATGTGGAGGCTGTGCTGTTGGTACAGTCCTATGACTCCAAGGAGCCTCAGGTTTCAGCCCACAGAGTCAGAGATCATGAGGTTGAAAACAGAATGGCAGCAGTTGGCAGACCTGCTAAGCTCGTGAGATTTACCTTGCACACAGTCTGATAGAGGGAGAAGGAGTGTAAGTGGCAGAATCACTAGGCTGGAGACAGGCCCCCATCTCTGCTTGCCTAAACAGTGTCTCCGTGGGGATGAGGAGGGAGGCACTGTCACAACTTGCCAATTGGCATCTTGAGGTTTTGAGGTGGACCAGCAAGTCTCAGACCTACAGGCTCTCCTCGGGGCCCAAAGAGATCATGCAGTCATTACATTTGCCCTCCTGCAGAACAGAGCCTATATTTCTCACCACAGCTTGCTCAGACCTGCTGGTTTAAAAATGTTTATCTTTAAGAGAAGCTATTTAGCATCCTCCTTAGTTACTAATGGACTGGAAAGGAGTTCATCGTTTTCATGTGATGTGAATATAATCATCCCACTTCTTTCCGAATTAGAAGAGATACTTAGCAAAGCCTTCTGCCTTTTCTGCCTCCTCTCTTGCTTGCTGAGCAGGGCTAACCCTTATCTGTGCATGAATGGAATGTGTTGAAGGAGAACTCATCTGATGCAAGAAACATTTCAGAGGAAGAGACCTTCCTTCAACTCCATGCTGGACATGCACGTTAGTGTATCACTGACTATATGTCATCATTAACGGTCGTCTGGTGCTCTTCTCTAGCCTGCATATTAGCAAAAGCTTCCCAGCCAAATCCTGACAAAAATCACTGTATTTTGCTGCTCTGAAATTCCCCCGCACGCTTGGAACAGGGCCCTGCTTTACTCCCTGTCCTACAGCATTGTTGTGTGCTGTTAAATACTTACACCCTCCATCCAGTTAAGTTTCAGTGGTGGAAGTGTTTTCTAGGTACACACAGATCCCAGTTCTCCTTTCCACTGCTCCAGTGTAAGTCATCAGACTCCTCCATGTTACCCTGTGGTGAGGAAAGGGACCAACCCAGCCCACATTGTGCAGAGAGTGCCAGCACTCAGGGGGTGTGCGAGCAGCTGGCTTTGACATGACATTGATGTTCACTTCATCTTCGGGAAGATGGTGTTTTCTCCAAACGTGTCATTTGTTGTCTTGTCCTGAGCAGGTGTTGTGCCCTAGAAGGAACCAGTTAAATATCCTGAGACAGAAGGTGGAAACGCAGCCCCCTTCAGCCAGCCCACCACCACCTCCTGTCTATGATGTGAGTACCAGAATTGCCCTCCATCCCTTCTGTCTGCATCATGGTACAACCCTGCCTTTCCCTGCCCTGCCATGGTACAGAGAACACCAGTATCATGCTGTGAAACACAAGCAGTACCTGAGTACCAGCCTGGTACTGGTGACCTTGCTCCTGTTCTCTGCCCTTGCTTAGCTCCTCTCAGGACTGTGCACATTGTGTCTTTGCCCTGGTCCCACTCGTGGCCTCTCCTGCGCCAAGGCTTTGCACCATGCCCTGCTGGGCAGCACCCTTCCCTCTGCCAGCAGTGTGGCAGCACAGAGCAGCAAGTGTGGGGCCAGAGAGGGTTCCTGGTGGTAGAGGTAGAAGGGTCTCCAGAAGTCAGGAAGGAAAAAGGGATCTCAGCCCCACTTTGTACTATAGAGTGTCTCAAGGACATGCCCTCCCCAGCTGGCCAATGATGGCTCAGAAAAAGGGCAAAGAGAAGTTCTCCCCCACAACAACCCCAGCTGTTTAGAGTTCCTGCTGTGACACCTTCACCAGTGTCACTGTCACAGACCACTGCAGTCCTGAGCAGGCTGACTAGTTCTCAGGGGGAAAGATGGCAGGAAGAAAGTGAGGGGAGTCTCTTTTTTGGAGAATTTCCCTTTTCATTGCATGGGTTCTCCTTTTCCAGTCCCCAAACTGGGGAACACCAACTGCTCCTGCTCCTCGAGCCCAGTAGCCACAGCATCATAAGTAATGGGATTGGAGTGGCTCTCCTGAACTGTCAGGCCCAGACCTCAGCTACCTTAAGTAACCATGACCCTAATCCCATTTACAACTCATCCAGCTCCATTTAAAATGGATTCCTTTTTCTCCTTTTGCTCCTATGGGAGGGCTGTTCCACTAAGAAGGGAAGGGGGTTTTTTGCCCCGTGATCTGTGGGACAAACAAGGAGGAATAAAATGAAAATCGGTAGAGAACAACATTGCCTGAATATTAGGAAACCTTTCTGACTGTGAGGTCTGTAAGGGCTGGGAAAGTCTCTCTGAGGAAAACCTGTAAGCTCTGCTGCATTAATCATTTAAACTAAACAAAGCGAAGCTCTGGAGACTATACTACAGAGAGGAGCAAAGCTCTGCCAAGGAGGCAGGAGACCTGATAGGGGACAGATATGAACAAGAGGATGGGCCTGCCCCCTTCTCATTCTCATTTTGTAGGTAGGGGGGCACCATTTGTGGCCCTTTAATTTTTGGAGTAGAGGTTTAAAAGAAAGCACTATGTATTGCATGTGATATGTTTATTCTGGGCAAAAAGCAATGCTTTGGGTAAAGGAGGTTGCAGGTTATAAACCTTTTAATTTGTATCAAGTCATTTCTTTTTAATTCGGGCTTATAAAAATCCGAATGGGTAGTTTCCTGCTGAAGTGGATGATTTCTGCAAGGAGACAAAAAAAAAAAAATCAAATCCATTTCTCGCTCAGTCGGCCTCGTCATGCATCCTTAGCTCCATCTTAATTACATGTTTCATCACGTTGTTCTGTTCAGGAGGCCCCACTAAGGCTAATATAGCAAGCCAGCAGAGCCAGCCTTAGGCACAGGCAGTCCTGGGAGCTGGCTGGGCCCCTGTGCTTGCAGGAGCCCTATGGACCTGACCCAGCTGGCCTTCCCCCCAAGCCTGATAGCCACATGCCAGCTGCGTGGGGCTCTTAGCCAGCCCTGTGTGCTGGGCAGGTGGCTCAGCCCTCTTTGGCGGAGCTGCAAGCAGCCTCCAGCCATCCCCTGTGTGCTGGGGGGGATGAGCCTGCCCGCTGGAGGTTACTTTATCGTGGAGCAGCTGCTGCAGGGTGACTCGTTCAGGCATGAAGCAGCAACTCCTGCCGCAGACAGGATGCAGGGCGAGAGCAGGGCTGCAAAGTGAAAAAGGGGGAGCATGGCCCTGGGATGGAGAGCCTGTGTTGGATGGGCCCTCAGGACAGGTGAGGGGAGTGGAAAGTTGACAAACTTTATTTCCTTTGAAAGATGCCTCTGGTGCCCCACTGCTAAATTTTGTCGGGCCTCTGCATGGTGTAAACCCAGCCCTGCAAACTCTGTTTGAAATGAGGTGTGTTGTGAAAACCTGTTGGTGTTAAATCGGGTGTTGAACACGGTGCTTAATTCATGGGGAGGGCAGAAATCTGTGGTCAGCATTGGGGTAAACTGAGGGAAGGACAAGTGATGAGATAAAGAAGGAGGTCAGACGTTAGGGGATGGGACAGGAGGCCAGCATGTGACAGATGTGCTATTTGTGGGGGAAAGGAAGAGATCAGAGTCTGGAAGAACATTGGGTCAGGGAACCACAGTATCTGGAGCTGGGAGCAGGAGCAACAGGAGGCAGCGCTGGACACTAAAGTAAGGGCTTGGCACTGGCTGGTGCAGCTCATTAAATGCTCTGTATTATCCTACATGGCAGCAAGGCTCATCCCTGGAGTGGGAAGGGTCCTAACACACATTCTGCAAAACCATGATGCTGAACATCCCTAGGAGCAAATGCCCTCCCTGCTGGCTCTTCCAGGTGCTATCGCTTACCTCGTGGGGGTGGGTGTATGCAGTGAAAAGCAGCAAGTAGCAAAAAGCTCCAGCAATAAGGGGGCAGCTGGACACCCACTTTGTTCCCACTACACTGCCAGGTGTTCCTTGACCTCTTTGTCCTCCTGCGGCCCCAGAACAGCTTTACCTCACTGCACTACCCAGACCCAAACCTGTATTTTCCTCTGTCTTCCAGCTTAGCTGCCTAGTTAACGAGCAGCTTGGAAACAGCAATCCGAGGGACTCGCTTCATCCACTTTACACTTCAAACAAGCTTTTTTGAGCAGCAAAGAGAACTCCTGTGGCGCAGGCAGGTTCCAGAGCACAGAAGCTTTTCCTGGTGTGAGGGAGACAAGGAGGCTGCTTGGGGATAGGAAGGCATCTGCCAGCGGGAAGGAGAGAGGCCTGTGTGCCTCCACTGTGACAGTAGCAGGTGGTCAGTGACCAAGCAAAAGTAATTAATTTGCAAATAGTGGCTGGAGACACCAGCTTTCCAACTGGCCAGCAAAGGACCAGCATTGTCAACAGCCTCCACGGGAAGAGGGCTTGTGGAGGCAGGGAATCTTTTTTGGAGGTTAAACACCAAAAGGATCCTTCTTGCTTGCGAATGGCTTCAGACTAGCGCAGTGAAAGAGGCTGCCTGTCCTGCCAAGGGGGACACGGAGCCAGGCTGCTGGGAGTGCAGCACATGGGACGAGGACCTCACTGCAAGCATCACAAAGAGAATTGAAAATGAGGATGGGGAAATGGGATTTTCTGTGTGCGCATGTGCACATGCAAATAGTTGGGAATGTCTGTGTAGGCAAGTGGGTTGTTGGGAGTGGGAAGCAGACAGGTGAAATAATTTGACTGTTCCCGGAGGAGGAATGGGAATGGGAGAGCTGTGTGGTGCTCTGTTCGCTGTGGCCCGCTCCTGTCTGAGTGCCTGCTTGCTCCAAACCCTGCTCCCAAATGCTGCTCTGCTATCATCTGGTCCTGTTCAAACCACCGTCCTGCTGGCCACTATCCCGAAAGATGCTGAGTGTTTGCAACTCCGGATGAAATGATGAGGGTTCAGGTGATCGGCAGCCCCAGAATTAAGCTCTGTTTTGCTTGTCCTCGCTGTGTTGCAGGGCGCCTCGCTCCCTTTGCAGTCTCTCCACTAATACCATCTGCCCCTCTTGCGGCCGGAGCTCCTCCCATCTTCCTGTTGCCAGAGAAACAGCCACCTTGGCAACCTGCTGTCATCCTTGAAACACACATGGAAAAGTCCTCCTGATTGTTATGTTTGATCCTTCAGGCAGATCTGGAACATCACTCAAACTGACACGCATCTCCTGTGACACGATTACCTGGGGGACCAGCGGGTGCATACGCATGTAGGGCGTGTGTGTGTTTCTCTGTGTAGCTGTATGGGACCTCGGATATGTTTGAGGGCCTGGGAGTGTACTGATTTTTTTTTTTTATTATTATTATTCTTTGCTCACTCTAAGAAGAAAGGAGAGTTCTGGCTTGGAAAAAAATCCCTGAAAATAAATAGAAATCATGCCTGATGTAGGGTTTCCCATTTTTTGACAGTCCCTGTGCTTCAGGACCTCAGCCTCACCTCTCTCTCATCCTTGTGTGCCCAGAATAACCACAGACAAGAGCTTGTGGGTGTCAGGCACCTAACGGTCTTGGGCAGTGCAGAGCACTGCCAGTTACCTGTGGTCCCCATGGTGCACAATATCCTTTCATGTGGCAGAGGGGTCTTTATTCTGCATTCTGGGACAATTTGGAGCAGAAAGAAGCAGGGGCATTGGCATTGTTCCCTACTGCCTTGCACAGGGTAGGTAACTTCAAAGCCCATCTCTGAGCCTGAAAAAGGAAGATGATGCAGCTGCACTGTGAAAATTTCAGGGGAAAAGGATTTACTTTTTGCCCAAGTTCAGATCAGGAACTTCAACATTTTGGAGATGGCAGGGGTTCCTAGAAAATGTCGGGCATGAGATGGGGAACAACCCAGTTGGCAATTAGTTGTCTTAAGCCCAAGTAATTTATTTGACCCCTGCTCTCTTCTTTCTTCCCTGTGCAGTGTCTGAATTCGCAGCAAGTTGATGTCTATTCTATCCTGGAGAACAACACAAACAACCCATCACCCAGAAAGAGTCCTCCAAGGAAGGTAAGGGCTGGGGCCCTGTTCTTGGAAAGCTCCCTGATGCACTGGGCACACGGGGAAAGAAAACTCACAGAGTCATCATGGCCCTTGCAGCCAGTGTGTCTCCAGTCCCACCAAAAGGGGAAAACAGGACGTGGCATCCACTCGCCAGCTGTGATGCACATGTAGTTTATCTTCCCTCTTCTGGGAGAACCCTTTCTCCCGCAGCTCTACCAGTTCTGTCAGTCCCAGCTTCATGCAGATGCTTTGCTGTATGACGTATGCTGAAAGGCATTGAGGGGTTTGGCGTCGCTGCTCCCTCTGAATGGGACGGATGTTCATGGGGAATTGGCCAGATGCTCATCCCCACTATTGCCCTTTCCAGATTATTTAGGCAGCTGAGAAATCCTCTGGGGTAGAGTAATCTGTGCACCAGGGGCAGACTCTGGATGCAGCTTTGCTCTCACCAGCATTAAGCACCTGAGAGCCATTTCATGGTAGCAGAAGCTAAGATGATCTGAACAGAGGCTGGGCTGATACAGTCTCTGTCAGCTCTGGGGCTCAGGAAAAGGCAGTGTGGGTACATTTAGGGCTCAGATCTTCTTGCTGGTCTGGGAGTTACGAGTTAGAGACAAGGAACTAAATCCACTCCTAGTAAAAGTAGCTGCAGCTTGGAATATGCAGGTGCAGGTCAGTTGTGGGGGGCACATGAAGCAGACCGGAGGCCCACACAGCCCTCTACCCTGCCTTTGGCAAGCATCAGCTGTTTCACAGGGACAAGAGAACTTGCATCAGGCACCCCAGGGAACGTTTCCTTCCTGTCCTCAGAACTTTGTTGTTCTCTTCCCCTCCAGACCTCTTATCTGCTTTAAAAAAGTATATTTACTCTTCTAATGCTGGAAGATGTTCCTGAAAAATGTCTCCTGCTTCTTCCCACTGGTGTTCTGTTGGGGAGAATTCCCCAGGTTGCCTATGCAGCGTGGAGCATGGCATCAGCTTCAGTTGGCACCATGCCTCTGTTTTGTGAAGGACAGTATTTTCCAGTGTCTGAGACATTTTCACAACTCCCACCTTTTAGGAAAAGGTGATCTAAAATCAAGCGGCCTACTCTGTGTCAGAGCTACTTGCCATGTGGTCTGGTCCCAAGGCCACTGGCCTCCTACAGTTACTGCTGTGGCTCAACAGTGGTTGGTGGTAGCAAAGGCAGTGGCAGGTATCTGATTATTGAGGGAAAGAATGGGTTGTTAAATATAGGCTGTCTTATACCCCAGTGCAGCATACACACTGGAAAAAACAGCATCCCTATTCTTGCTGCATTTTGAAATTGCTGGATAGTGAGAGCAGTAGGTTCTGATCCCTCTTCCCTGTCGTATTTATTCTTCTGTATACCTTTATCAGCTGCCCCCTTCGAAATGATTCCATCTGGATGATGAGATGCAGTATGTGTGGGGTTTTTTCCTACTGTGGAGCTGTCTGGGCTGGGCTGAATTGCTTGTGTGTGGCCCACACTGCTCAACTGCTGCTTGGGGGGGGGGGGGGGGGGGGGGGGGCAGTGCGTCTGTAAAACCGAGCAGGAGCAAAGCAACAAAGCAAGAGCCAAGGAGCATCTCTGTGTGAGTGGGTCTGGCGCTGGTGGATTCAGGCAGAGTGGGGTAAAGGTCGAAGCAGAGGTGGGAGAAACAAAGGAAAAGAAAGCAAACAGAGAGGGTGGGATTTGCTCTCACACCAAGAACAGACAGTTCTCGAGCTGGTCAGAAGGAAGGGAAGTGTGAGTGGCAGAGCCCCATGATCTCTGCACAGGAGACTCTGACTGTGCCTTCCACTGCTGTTTCAAGCACCTTGATCAGCTTTTCTCTCAGTCATCCTGGGCTATGACTGCCTGGGACACTCTTCCTCCAGCTGGTTGTGCCAGAATATAACAGGGCTGTTTTCCCTAAAAGCAAGACTTGTGGGCCAGCAGGTTTGGCCTGTAAGTGGGAGCTGGGATTGCTGAATGGTGGCTGACTTTGCTGCGGAGCGTCCAGGCCAGGCCTTGCTGAGGGATGCTGCGCATAGAGGGGGGAGTTGTAAAAGGAAGCAGGGCAGAGAGACCCTGAAACAAGAGCATTTGGATGCTGTCATGCTGGACTGTCAGCCAGCTTGGGTAGCGAGGGGTTAATCCTGCATGCTTTGGAGGTGCCTGCACTCAGCACTTTTGTAAAATGTTTCCCTTTGGTGGCGGCAACAGAGAAAATGCTAGTGTAGGTAGGGCTTCTTTCACCCGGTGGCATTTCAGCTACTTGCTGTGTAACCTTGCTTACAGCAGGCCTGTGCCACACAGCACTTAAAATATCAGTCTGTCAGCGCCTTGTCTACACAAGGAACGGTCGTGTGGAATAGACTCAACTGTTGAAGAAACAGGATTGAGGAGGTCAGGGAATTCCTCCTTCACACAATCCAAAGTGATTTATTTTTTTACCAAGTCCAATTTTCCCTCCCCTCCCTGTCTGACAGCTTTTTGGGGGAAGAGTGACAAGTAAAGGAGGCATCTTTATCCCTTGGGCTGGATTAGCCACGTTTGTCTCTGGCAGAGCAACATTTCTCACTGTAGTGGCTTCTATTTCAGCAGATCACTTATAGCCATTTCTAACAGAACAAACGTCAGTGTCTGCTTATTAAAAATTAACTCATCATCTTTTGAGTAATTTTCCTCCATTTCTTTTTTCTCCTTTTCATCATTCTGCAGACACCTAAGAAGCAAGCAACTCTACAAGAATCCTCTGATACACTGTATGAGAATATCTAGCAGGGAAAATCTGACCCTATGTGGACCAGGCATCTTTCTGTACGGAAGAACTACTCTCTTACATCCCCAGTTCTACTGCAGAGATCCACAGTGACTTCAGGGCACAACTCCAAGGGATTTGTGAACCCCCTGGCTCCATCTAAACTGCCCTTCATTAACAACAGAATGCATCTGTTCAAATCCCACCGGGGGCTCAGTCTGCATTGATGCAGCAAAGCTATTTTGCAGCAAAGCGGTTTGATGCAAAAGAAAAGCTGCTTTTGTCAAGCACTCACACATTCTTAGAAATGGTGCAGATGGGATCTGTGCAGGTTTTTCTCACCTGGCCTGGCTGAAATACTTAAATCTCAATTGTCTGTAAATGATAGGACAATCCAGAGACCTCCTTGCTTCCTGGCTTGATCTTCCAATCCTGACCTGCAGCAGTCCCTCTGATCCTGTGCCTATGGCTTTCCCGACGTGGCCATCAGGCCTTCATGCATAGTTTAACTGAGATCCAGGCATCCACCTGCCCATTTTTCCTTTCTCAGGAACCCCACGGTGAAACATGCTTTCTCATAATCTGCTAATCCCATCAAGTAGTCACAGATGCCTGCTGTGACCATACTCAGTCGACTCAAATCAGTGCCTCGGAGTAAATGCTTTCCTTTCAGCAATATCAGCAGTATGGTGAGGACTGGATGCACAGACAAAGATAATGATGGAGGAAAGGAAAACAGAGAAAATATCCCTGACTGCCAACATGTCTCAGCGGCAGTGCCCTTTCCAGAACAAGGAAGAGGAACAAGAAGGTGGGAACCCAAGGAAACTCCCTTGCTGGGGCTGCATAAGCCAAGCAGGTCTGGGGCCAGGTTCCAGCCCAGAGAATTTTAAACCAAGCTCCCCAATTTCCTGTTCTTCTTGGCAATGGGCATTGTTATTGCTTAGAATTTTGAGCCTCTGTGGAAGCAGGCATGGTACTTCTGCCACACCAAACCAAATAGGTTTGCCTCTGTTTCAGCTGGCCAGTATTTCCCAACAAGGGTATAAGAATCCTTTACCTCCACCACCATATGTTATTTGGCCAGGTAGACAAGTTCTGAAACTTAGAATGACTGGAGGGAAGAGGGAGGCCCTAAAGGTGAGTTTTCTATCCAAGCTCTTCTCTTGCCTGTCAGCTGGAACTTGCCTACTGTTTGTGCTGATGCATATTCTAGTTCTGATAGGGAAGAGGTTACATTAAATATCCATATAACACGATCAAACCAGTGGATCAAAAAGCTGAGGCTGTTTTATCTCAGATTAAAAAACAACAACAAAATACAACCAAACAAAACCAACCCAAAATAAGAATATGCAGCATAACTTTAGAGGAATCATCGAAACCTCCTTAAAGAAGAAGATCAAATTAAAATTGAGCTCCAGGGTCATAGGACCCTCTCTACTTGAAGATAATGTTGCTATGCATCAGAGATAGAGGCTATGGAAAATGTCTCCGGGGCCGCCAGCCTTCCTATACTATGTTTAAAGAGATAATCCGCTTATTGCTTTGCTCTTTTTATTAGAAGAGATTTCAAACATGCAATTTGGACTTTCTTTAACCACAGGAAAATGCTTTTCCTCTTCCCAGCGTTGAGGAATTCATTTCAGAAAGAGCAATGAATAGACAGCATGGCTTATTAGACCCATTTTTCATTTGTTAAGTGATCATTACAATTATAAATAAGTATTTTTGAAGTCTACAATTTTACTGTTTACCAATATGACCAGAAAATATTTGTGCTCACAGAGGAATTTATAGAGGATTGTATAGGTATAACAATTCCTTTCCTTAGCAGATTTGAAGAAATTATGAGATGAATTATAAATATGTTGCAGTATGGCAATAAAATATTCAGCAGAAGCTGGTGGATTAGATGAAAAGCAAAAACTTTCAAAATAATGACGCTTAGTTTTTGTGTTTTGCTTTTTAAATTTTATAAATGCTAAAAATACTGGGTGCTACTGGAAATTTCCTGACAAGGATCTCACTTTGCAGTGAATTGATTTGTCTTGTTACCTTTTTTACCTGTTGTTGTACCTCGTTACCTTTTTTACTGTTACATTTTTAAATAGTGTGCTTCCTACATTTATGCTTCAGCAATTCTATGTGTTAAGTAGCTGAAGCTGTTTAAAATGAAACATGAGAGGAAGAACAGTATTTAGAATAGAAAAGCCTATTCTAGAACAGTCAGTGCTGAAGTACTGGAGGAATCACACCAGGTTCTGATCAATTAAGTGAAAAAGTAAAAATTTCCAAGAAACACTGGCAAGTCTGGGGATTTGGGCTGTGCACCAAAGCTTGCCAAAGTTGCAGGGAGCAGCTGTGTTGATTTCAATGGGTTTTGGAGTGACCCTGCCAGAGTAAAAGACTGCTGCACGAGAAAAAGAAAGTTTTGAAGCTATGGAGACAGAAGCATAGTATCACTTTGTTAACATCGTGCGCCATGGGCAGCCTCAGTAGCATCTGTGTGTGAGAGAGAAAGGTATAAAACAGAAGACTGTGAGAACAGGGATGTTTTGAAATGATACGGAGTTTTCCAAGGAGGTATGAGGAAATCCCTTCAAGCACAAGCAGGAGAGACTAGGAAATATTATTTATATAATATTGGTATAGCTACTTTGTAGGGGAGATTTGTTCAGGAAAAGGCAGTCCTTTCATCTTTTTGTCTTACATGGCTCTATGACCCATGAGAATAGATGCAAGGAATGGAGTTAATTTTTAAGTGTTGATCAATTGAAAAAGAAAAAAAAAAAAAAAAAACCAAAGAGAGAAATTAAGGATCGTTTCCCCCAGCTCCACAAAGGTGAGCGGTGATGACTGGCTTGCTGTGTTCACTCTACACGTTTTGCTTCAAAATTAATATTGAGAGTGGATTCCTCTTAAAAAGTGTGTCCCTACGGGCCTCAGCTCCACTTGCTTCCCCCAGCATGGTGCTGTTATGCACAGAGCATGCTCTCAGGTTACAGTGGTATAATCTTTGATTCCCCGGTGTTGAATTATCCCTTTGTATTGACAGAATTTCAGGAAAGTGGAGACCTATTATCAAAGTGAGCAGTGGTGCGAGGTGGAAATGCGCTGCCTGCTGCCTTCTAAAGGAGGTGTCATGTTAGCACTAAGATCCTTTGCCCTCTCCACCAGGTGTGAGCCTTTGGTCCTGAGAGATGCAGTCTCTCACTGGGATCACCCTCGATGTGTTGTCTTGGCATTGCTGCAAAAGGTGTTGGTGACACTTAGGTCACCTAGTCCCCTTAAAACAACTCCTTCACAGTGCTTTACAGCAAATCCTGATTTGAGAAGGCAACAAACGGGGTGCACCTGAGTGGTTCATTGGTTTGTTGGTTTCATCCTTTTCTGCAGAGGACAAGCTCTTGCGTGGGTACTGTTCTGTCATATGAAACACGCCAACTGTATTTTGCCTTTATCTGTAGATAAGAAAGGCCTTGCTGTGGTGGATAACAACAATGAAATATATGTCCAAGATGTAGTCCAAGGTTTTCTCCTTCATCGCTTCTGTCTTCTACTCCTCTTCTTTTTCCTTCTCAGAGGTGTTACTACTGTAACTCATCTCTAAATACCCAGCTAGGGCTGGTTCTTTATCAAGGGAGGTGCTTGACTGGTCAGCACCCAAGTGAAATGGCTATTACTGCTCTGGTTCGCACCCAGCAGTGCCCTTAAGGCTGTGTGAGTCTGAGACAAGGGCAGGGGTCTCTTCTTCCTGCTGGGCTGTCTCCTGGAAAGACCTGGTGTTTTTTTCAGCCCGTGGCCATGCAATACTGTGACCCTGTGAGATGGGGATTTAGGGAAAGCAGTGAGTGAAGCCACCAGATGGTGCCCTAGGTCCTCTCTGCTCCCTCTCCTGTCCCCTGCCTGCCCACATCCCCCTGCCAGCTCCCCTGGTAGCCCCCAGACCACAGACTCCCCGGGGGCAGGCACCTACAGCCATGCAGAACATCCTCAGCCATGGCTGTCTTCTGCCCCTGGGGTTGGTGCCTCTGGCACTCCTCAGAGCTCTGAGCCATGGCCCCAGTGCCACCAGCACCTGTGAAGAGATGGGGACAGGACAGGTTCCCCTCCTATGCATCCATGAAGTTTAGAGAAAGAGCTTCACCAGATACCAGCATCTTGGCACAGGGCTGCCCATGTGAGGGGCAGGAAAGTGGCTGCTCACACCACTGTTGGGTCAGATTGGCATCTGAAATGCAAAACTGGCCAGATGTTGGGGGCTGCTTGGAGCTGCCCCCACTTTCTTTCACCATGTGGAAGCAGAACCTTATCTTGGGTTTGGGAAAATGTAGTGTGTCCATGGTGAAAAAAATTCTTTGTAGCATATGCTGCTCTTCTTCTTTGCTGTGTCTGGAAGCTGATAAAGGCTCAGATACTCCTCTTTCTGTGTTTTGAGATTCTGTGTTGGTCAACATTTTCTATGTACAGTGAAGTATCATTAAGAGTTTATAAATAAAAAAGGTCAGAGAGCACCAGTGACTACCTGATCTCCAAGGGAAGAGGAGAATGTGCACATTCAGTGTCTTCTGTTGCTTGTATTTGTGGCAAGCCAGTTTCCACTTCCCATCAGGGATAAAATGTTTTTCTTTGTTAATGATAAAATAGAAATGCAGGTTACTATTAGTAACTAGTATGTTACTAGGTACTTCACTATTAATAACCAGGCCTCTAAGCTGCCAAACTGTGTTACGAGCTGTGGATCTGCAAGGTTCACAGCACCAGTGATGCAACGACACAGCAACCCTGGGGGCAAAGCGCGAGGGGGCTTTGCTGATACCAGGCAGGTTCCTGTGAGAAGTGACACAGGAGGGCAAATTGTCAGCTCCTGAGGCAAGGACTGTTTAGGCAGGAGGGGAAGGCCCCCTTTCCGGGAGGGAATCTTTCTCCTCACCAGATGATGAACCTCTCCTGGAGCCTCTCTCTTCCTTCAGCTCTTTGAAATATGTGGGTTGTGTTGTACCACTCTGGGCCACATGAAGATTTGGGTATACAGCTGGTAGGGCCAGGCAGGTCAGCCACCTTGCTTTAAGGAGTCAGAATGTAATTATCCAAATTGGAACAGGGTGAACATGGAAAAGCTAACATATGGGCTTCTTCAAAACGTTCTGTCTTTTAATAACCAGTCAGGGCCTCTGGTTTCTATCCCATCTGAAAGATTCGTCTGCCTACAATTTTATGCAATGATATCTGAGCACTTCCAGGGGTAATAATTGTACCCAAAATACCTGTACCACAGTGAGCTTCCCTCCCTTGTGAGGGAATTAGTCCTGTAATGCTGTTAACAGTGCTTTTGGCACTGCCATGTGCTGTTAAAATCAAAGATTTCAGAAGTCCCTGCAAGGCTCAGTATGACGTTTCAGCTTCATACGTGCTAAAAATGGAGACTCAGACTCAGGAGGTTAATGGAGACTCAGGAGGTTAAATAACTTCTCCAAATTTGCAGAGGGTCAGAGGTGAAGTTGGGAACAGAATTCGGGTTCCAATGTTCTTATTTGTACCAGGTTGTCCAGGTAGGAACCAGTAGCTCTGCAAGTAGGAGCTGCTGAGCTCCTTATAGTTTAGCAAAAAACCCCCCACGTTCTTTCTGAGTCACCAGCACGAGTTTCTGCAGCACTTCGCTTTTCATTTTTGATTTCTCATGCAGGTATTGATCAGGCTCACGTCTGCCTGGCTGAGGACTGTTTGCTGAGGTAGCAGAGCCACGGGAGAAGTTACTGTTCTTTTTTATGGAGGTATCCACCATTTGGCAATAAGGAAAGCTCATCAGAGCCAAATTACCATGGAAAGCCCAAATATGTATGCTGTAGGTCCCCAAATAAATGTTGATGGAGGGAATGTGCTGAGTTGCTGCTCATCCACCCCAGAAAGTCTTCCTGATTGCTGAAGAAGTTCCTGAGCTTGTCGAGAGGTTTTAGACAAGGAAGAGCAAATGGCTGCAGCTGAGTTGCAAAGGCACTCTCTGCTGGCGTGGAAGGGAGGCAGGGAATTCCCTACCATCCCAACAGTTAGATGCTGGAGAAGAAGGAGGTGTGAGGAGAGGTGATAATGCTGATAATTACGTGAATGGAAATGCTTACCATTCTTTTTAATGTTTAAAGGAAACCACAGTTTTGAGGTGATGTAATTCCTGCTTGGTTGGGTTGTTTATTCAAGCAGTGCAACCCTGCGCTACCAGATGGGGAAGAGAAAGTAAAACTTCAGCTCGGCGTTTGCTCTCTCAGGATTTCTGTAGGTTTTCAGACTCATTCAGGTCAAGGCAGGGTGTGAATCTGAAGTACAGCAGCTCTTCCAGCATGCCCTTCTGTACAGACTGGCCCTTGGCTAAGGAACGTGCAAAACACAGACGGGGATTTTGCAGAAACCAGTGTAATAGAAGGAGCTGTAACTCTTCTTCTCCTCCCATAAGATTTAAAATAATCTTGCTGTCCATAAAAATCAGGTTAGCTATTTTGGGTTCTTGCAGAGCTAAAATGAATGCAGCATCTCTCATTTCCAGTCATGATAAGTCACTAGATATCAATTCTTAATTGCTTGATTAATCTTGAATTTTCAGAGCTGACAGTGCCTGTCCTAGCACTTAGACAAGAGCTACATATAAAAGAAAGGAGAAAACACTTCCCTTTTTTTTTTTTTTTTTTTTTTTTCTTCTTTAAACATAGCCTGCAAGGTAAGAGCATGAAATTAGAGAGGTTTGTAATGTATGTTGTCCTGAGAAAGATGGGCCATTAGGCAGAGTGCAAGTGAAACAGTTAGAGGTTCATGATAAACTAGGGGGGTGTGACGAATTAATTTTAGCGTTTGCTTCAGCAATTCATTATAAGACTATCTCAAACCCAAATGTTAGTACACTTACATTTGCTGTATACTCGTATGTGTTAGGACATTTTTTCATTTAA